TTAACATATTTCTCAAGCCCTCAACGTAAGTTGCAACGTTGTCCGCATTCGGTGGGCGGTAGCAGGAACAGAAAATAAAACCTTTAGATTTTGGAGGTGTTATTTCCATCCAAAGGCATTGAATATCCGGTTGATCATTTTCAAATTCTTGAATAACTTTGTAATTGAGGTTCGAGGAAATGTAAATGAGAACACCACCATTTCGGCGAGTTTTATCTCTTCGTACAAGTGAGTAGCCGGGAAGCTGAATTTCACTGTCACTGATTGATGAATCTAGCCAAGTTTCGTTTAGGGACAGAACGTGCGGTAGGTGGGTCTCACAAAAAACTCGGATCTCATCCATCTTGTTGACAAGACTTCGCACATTCAAATTACAAATTCTTAAGCCTTTTACCGTACTCAACTTGAAGTTTCCACTTTGAGAAGTTGATTTTGGACCAGGGTTTCGCTCAACATTGCCACTGGACAAGAGTAGCGATAAGCATAGGCAATAGGCCAAAGTAGAGGTGGTGTGCTTTGAGAGTTTGACTTTATGGTTGCCCGCCATATCGACTGCTCGAGCTGCAAACTCATTCAGCGCAGTTTGAGCTATTTTTGCCTTGAAGTCGCTTTTCCAGCGCTCGTTTAATCCTTCCAAAGGTTCTTCACCAAGCAGACTGCCATGTCGAAATATTTTATGCCGGTTTACCGGCAAAATAAAGCAAAGAAGGTGAAATAAGTAAAGAGCTGCCGAGATGCCAACCAACCCTCTTGGCGCCATGTTGATTCCTTCCATCTTTGTGCCTCTTGCAGCTAATTTTAGTCTTATATAAGGAAATGAGTCCTGTGAACAAAACTTATGCAATTCATGGTAGTCTCATACCTAATTTGCTTTATAAAGCTAGTAAATAATTATATTTATAGTGAAAATCACAGTGGATTTAGTTTTGTTCCAACAAGTATCTTGTTGTGCTTGATGTGATACGTTCATAATTTACTTTTCCCTGGCTTGTTGCTATTTCAACTACTCACCAATTCTCCTGTGCTAGAAATGAAATTCATGATAATTTCATCTAAACCAAATAAGTAATTTGGGACATATATGTAAAACCTCAAAAGTAAAGTGGAGGAAAAGTATTTCAAAGTGGCCAGAAAGTACAGTTCAAATAGTAGCATCTCTTACACCTTCACCTTTAATTTTTTTTCCTCATTGACTGTGGATTGATTATAATTCATATGTTATCCATCTTTTGCTCCTAACAACCTTATTATTTACCTACTGTACATGTACATCTCATAAATGATCACACTGGACAGGGAGACAAAACACTGCAGTTCTTTTATATACATTAGTGGACAAGGTGACATTAAATTGAACCATTTTAACAATCAAAGTTGCAAATTCTGTCCCAGCTCCCAGTTTCCTGGATGTGTTAATTGGCATCCTGGTGAATCTGTTTCTTTGGTTAATTACATCTGCTGCATCTTTGTTGGCATAGTTACAAGTGGCCCTTACCTTTTATTTCTCTAGGGGGTTGGTACATCTCACACTTGACAATCATTTTTATAAGCTTACAACACTGTAGTGCAAATGTTTCAAATAAACAGGCTGCAAAAGAGTGATACAACCATGGAATTAGAATCAAACTTACACCCCTATTCTGTTTCCCTGAACGGTGGAATGAATGGCTATAACTTTTAAGCTTGTTTTCACTACCAGGTTGAGTTAATTTTGTGTATTTCAAATTGAAATTGCAGCCACTTAGGCAACTAACCTTGCCCTTCACTTGTAAACAGGTAGTTGTAGCAGAGTTCTAACGTGGGTTGCATAAGGGGTAAAAATGATAATGGATGGTTTTCTTGACTGTCTGCCAACTGAAAAAGAACTGTACTGTAAGGGGGTGTGGACAAAACCTGGCCTACCCTGTGGTCTACCCTGTGGCCTACCCTATGGCCTACCAGTGATCAGATTTTTAAGAACATAAAAATAAAATCAGTAAGAGTCAAACTAATACACTGGTGTACAATTATCTTCCTCTGAAAAAGGTATACTAAGAGGTCACAAACACGATTTTCAATGTCCGAGGGAACGAAACACTGCAAATATCACAGCACTCAACCATAACGGTAGGTTAAGGGGGAGGGGAGGGGAGAGGAGGGGCCAATATTGCATGGCCCAGAGGATATACAAAATGGCAGTTTTATGATGCAGGCTGTCAGTTGGTAACATAATTATAGTGGAGTGCTGGTGTAAAAATGTAATAAACGGCGTTATATTGGAGAGCATACATATCCAGGTAAGAAAATGCAAACATTACATGCCAGGCCAATTTTTGAAGTGCCCTCAAGTGCTGTAGAGTATTGAATTTGCAATGAGCACCCCGGGACACACATGCATCGCCTTCGTAAACATTTCGCAAACTTTACTTGCTTTTCCAAAGAAAGGGCCAGTATTGCACTAATTTGAAAGGAGAGCTGATATGACAATGTTTGCCCAAAAGTTGCGTTTAACCGGCTTCTGTTCCTCGATTTCCTTATTCTATCAGAAGGTTAAGAAATTTTGATTGGAATGTGGCCGCCAAAACAGCAGAAGAAAGTCGTTGGTAAGACAGTACTCAGGAAAACTTTGAAATGCTTCCAGCAATGCTATCCTTTTAAAAATCTGATCACCGGTAGGCCATAGGGTAGGCCACAGGATAGGCCATGGCCTAGGCCAGGTTTTGTCCACACCCACTTTAAGGGCTAAATTGAAATGTTTATTTTCACTCTATTACTCATTTCTAATATACTATAAACATGACAACAGTTCACGTCAATCTTTCAACAATTACTTGGTATACCAACAAGGAAAATAGGAAAGAAGCCCAAAAAGGAGCTGACAGCTTATTAACATTGGGTAATTTCATCACATGACACAAAAAAGGAAAGAATAAAATAAATACCTCCGATGACCAAGGTTTAATTTAAAATTATGTGAGAGCAAACTTCTTGCAGGTGGGAATGGTTTGAACCTAGAAAATCTAGGGGATAGGATGATGACACTAGGCAGGGAATCCCAAACCTAAGAACATTGGTGAGGAATGATAAATTTGATCAAAGTACAGTTCTGCACAAAATGGACAATTGGTACTAGTATTTTGTACATTATGATCTTTTTGAGTGGAGAGAAGAGTATCAAACATCTAAGGAAGGAGATGTTAAAAGTTCAAATGACAAACAAAGCGTAAATATTGAAAATACCAAGTACAAATTAAGATGGTAAAACAACCTAGGGAGTGGTATGCATGAGATATTCTGCCCCATGGCAAATGATGCAGAGGGAAATTTCCAGTTTAAATTAGAATATTAAGCTGAGTATCATACATTGTTACAATGGTTCTGCTTAGCATGCATTATGTAGGATATACAGCAAGGATAACAAGAATTTTCCCCAGAAGTTTTCTGTGTTTGAAGTAGCCTTGCATATTGTTACTTTGAGCTGATCAATTTCGTTCAATTAAAGTTTCTCTTAATCTCCACCTTCAAACAATCATGAAAACCATCTTTACTGGTAATGTGATAAGAAAAAAAAAGGAGATGATTGTTTACCTACCACTTTGGTCAACAAAATTACATATTTGTCAACTTTTTCTTGTATGCTGCAACTCATTTTTTCTGATTTTCCTGTTATAATAAGTTATACCAAAATTAGTAGACCTGTGCATGGACTCATCACTAGTCACACTTTCACCTGGTAATTGTTGGTATACCTTCTTTGAATAAGTTAAGAGTGATTAGCGGTCTCATTTCTTTGGAAGAAGTAGAGTTAAAACAAACAGTTTAATAGATATACAGCATAAATTTAATATGAGACAGTAAGATATTTATGGCAACCAGCAGCTGGTACATACTATAATCCAATATCACTTTGATTTTTCCAAGCACTGCCTTAAGGAGACACTGTGGATAAGAAAAACCATCAAGCATATTATACATATAATTGAAAGAAATTACAATGCAATATAACAATCTGTGATAACAAAAACTAAAAAGTTGGAAGAAGAGCAATTACAGTGTTTACAGATAAGTACTACTATGGAAATTGAAATTGTGTAACTGAGGTCAACATAGGCCAGCCGCTGTTCGGGAACCGGAGCCCGCGCTCCTCCTTGAACCCACTTCTCAGGGAGGAACGAGAAAGACTGGATCTGAGAGAGCTGCAGAAATTGAGCCTAAGGTCAACAATCTCCTCAAACACACATTATGAACCGGTGAGCCAGAAATTTATGACTCTGTAGCTTAATAGACAGTAAAAGAACATGGTATATAGCCTGTCCATTGATTGCTAAGGAACTGAGTTCCTCCAAAGAAGTACTGGATAGGAGAGTGAAAAACAACTTTACCTCACTGGCCACAGTGAGAACAAAGCTTGACTATTACTTGAAGTGCAAGAAACTCAGAATCCAAACCATCAAAATTTATTGTAGGTAGATTTTTTCATACCACTGCTTGTGATGTAGGGTCAAACTCCTTCAGTCCATGGACAAGTAACTTTCTCAAAACTATTACAACAGGAAAAAAAAATCTTATTGGTATCAAGTCCTTCAGGCTATGTGTTTATAGAGGAATTTAAACTGTCTGAAAGTTTGAACTGAATTAAGCTTAATATAATGTTTAATTACAAATACAAATGTCAATTAAAAGAAACAGCACCATCCCACACAATTTTTTCGGTAATATTAGGAATAGATAACACATTCTCTCAAATACACACTTGGGAATAATTCTTGCCAAGCATTTTGCTCAAAAGTTCATGAAATTTGCTACAGAACAGGTGTATAGAAGGCCTTTAGCTTAGCCAATTGAAGGAGTCCACAAGAATCCTCATGGACATGGCAAATACTATAAGGATAAATGAGTACAGAATGCATGCATCCTAGCATGAGATTCCATCAATTTTGAAGGTTGGTTGTGACTGTCTAGGTAAGAGGGGAAGACAAAAGTGATGGTTGTGTCTATTGCTTTGAGCAAAACATCTTGAAATGGCTTAGGGGGTGGGCACTGACAGTTTCTTGAGTTTTTTTGGTTGTATGTCGCATCTTCTGGGAAATCTGTTAAGAATTGTCAATGATCATGGGAGGAATTTCATTGGCAAAGACAAGGAGCTCCAAAATCCGGAACTAAACAGCAGACAAGGGAGTCAAGTAGGTATTTAATGAGCCTCGATCTGGCACCACATTTGAAACAGCCATTTGAACTGAAAGTTTCTCCACAATACCAAATGACGAAGAGTTGATGGTGGCCTTTCTTCACCAGCATATAAGAAATGTATCTACACCTCCAATAGATGAAGACATAACTTATAGTCTATAAAATAGGTGTGGACAAGTACAGGAACTGATGTCTCACTTTTGGAGGAGATTGATGAGAGAGTGGCCTCCATAGCTAAACCCTAGCCAAAAATGGACAGGCAAACTAAAAAAGAGATCTTAAGAGTGGAGAGGCGGTCTCAATGATTTTGCCTGATAGCAGGAGGGGTTTATCTGTGCAACACAGGCACGCCATTTAGGAGGAGTAGCACTATATTCTCCAAATGTAATATAAACCAGAATGAGCATCAGCAGTAATGGGCCACTAGGCTCTTATGGCTCAACTGCATCCAGAAATGCAACACATATAAAGTACAAATAATTAATGTGTTTGGGGAAGTACATTGGAATAAGGTATCATTCCTGCTACAGGTGCTTATACACCTTAGTAGAGAAAAAAACCTTGTTTGGGAGACCCTTCTAATTGCAAAGAAGCCAGTTGTTTTTTCATTCCAAAATCAATGGCAGTCTTTTATCAAAAATGCACAAAGACTTCAGTGAGAAGGATTAAAGCTTATCACTGAAAATGGTGTTGATTGTATGATAAATAGGATTGAATTCAACCCATGAAATACTCAAATTTACTTTTCTTCACAGTAACAATAACTTTAAATACATCTCTATATACATAATTTACCTTTCAGTGCCAGGGCACTGAGTTCAAGTGGACCCAGAGTTCTTGTGTGCTCCTACAAAACAAACAACACATCAACTAAACTCCACTCCCATGCAATGAAACAAGAAATGTTCCATACACAATTAAGAGCTGGTTTGAGCACATTTAAACTGATTTTGGGTTGGGTTTTGGGTTTGAATGATTAACATATTTGAATAGGCCAAAAGGAATCATTAATTTTACTGAAACTGAGATCTATAGTGCCTTTTGTAAATAGTTGATTATGTCTGAAAAGGTTCATGTGTAATATTATAATGAGATAGGAGCTACCATCAACACTGACATGTAGTATAATTGCAGGAGTTTGATATGCACACATTAGCAAAGGTGCCAGGGCAGTCTGCCAAAGGCCATTCTTGCATAGGTATAAGTTATTCACTAAGCAGGTTTCCTTGGGAAAAAGCTGTGCATGAGGTCTTACATACCACCCAAGGCCATAGGCCAAGGGCAGCAGTACCCAAGACAGATGCTGGCATTCCAATCCATCTCTGGTTCTTTTGTACAGTCACAGGCATCTGTTCCAAAAGACTTTTAGCTTGCGACTGATGGTCTTCATCACCTTGCTGGAATTCTACTCCATACAAGAGTGTGCCTAGCACATTGCTCTTGAAGAAATGTAACTTTGTTCTCTGGCCAATGCTCTTGGACTGAGATGCTTTGCCTACTTGGAGAGCTGACCTTGAGATCTAAGCTCCCTGCTGTTGTCACCAGTCTTTACCTGCACATTTTAGTGTTGTTGTGACAGTAGAGCAATGTCATCTGCAAAGTCTAAGTCTTCCAAGTGTCCATCTGATTCCTTTTTGTCTGTTGTTGGTGACTTGTTTCTTGACTCAGTGGATCCCCAGGATGAATAGAAACAGGACGAGGATGCATCTTAATGATTTAGCACACAGTCCAACCAAATATTTCCCCATCAATCATTGGGACTGCTGTTATTGTTGATTTTGCCCTTTTCTTTCCAGTTGAGTACCTTTATCCACCTTTCCTCTTCATTTTAAAGGTTGGCTAGAGTGTAATTTGATCACAGCCTGACCACAGACACTATTTTGAATTATTTTGATAAATTTCATATAGTCTAGAAAAAATTTGTACCACCCCCCAGATATTTCAACAGAAGATGATCGCACAACTATTGGGACATTATAAAACCTAGTAGGGGAGCCAGGGATAACATGCCTTATCCAAGTTTTGATGCATAAATTAAATGCACAACAGATCAAGGATTAGAGTCAGTAAGTGGGTGATTGAGTGAGTGATGAAGTGAGTGACGAAATTTTGCTTCCATACTAAAACCTCATAGTGTGACCGATGTCATACCATGAGGTAAAAGGGTTCATGACTCCATGCCTCCTCCCCAGTGTGTAAATGACTTTCTGATTTAATTGTAATTGAAAACTTTTGGTGACTTCATCGGTAGCAAATTGGTCACAAAAATGGGCAACCTGTGTTCTACACCTACTTGTTGGACTGATACCCATAAAAAATACCGGCCACCATCGTGCCAAAAAGGACACAGTATTGTTTACCTTCATGTTATGTTACCTTATACTACAACTCTATATACCTTCATTTGGAATGATTCCAAAAGAGATTCTGTGTTGCTCTGCCACAGGTGTAAAATATAGCCAAAAATATCAAAAGTAATCTAAAAGAGAGGAAATATGAGAGTCAATAATCATAAACTAGCTCCATAAATGTGTTGATAACAAAATGCTTGAATGTGAGTGTTTCTTAACAGCCCTTACACATGGCTTTATTGGCTGTTTCAAGTCCAAACTTGCCGATTTCACCTGTTAGATTACGAGTGTTTGTAATTAGACACTCAGGTGAGATCAGAAAGTCAAAGTGTTATCACACAAAGTGTCTTTCTGCAAATTTTTCTTGTTTATTAGAAAGTGTCCTAGCAAACTGGGGACAAGAATTGTGTTTGTGATGTCATAGAATTTGATAACAAAAAGTCATTGTTGTCTTGGGACTCCATCTTGTCATTTCTCTTGCGCACAGCTTCAATTGTGCAAGTGATTTGCTAGCTAGTGCTGTTTATTTTCAGCCTGCTCTGCTTAATTTAATTTGTAATTCCCTCTGCTGTCAGCCATCTTGGTTTGCTTCTCAAACACAGTGTCAGAACTGTAAATCAAGGGGCAAAAAACAGGGGTTTCAAAATATTTAATCAATCAGTAATCTTTACAATCGGTTTTTTTCTTACAATATTAACAACAAAAATCGGCAGATAAAGATTGTGTTGTATACACTTTAGCAGGCAATAAAGCTCAACTACCTAGCCAAGGCTATATCCCATCAAAATGAATAAAAAAACTTCAGAATAGAGCTGGCTGAGAGGTATTTACAACAAACAAGGACAAAATATAATGGTCAAGTAGGTATGTATTTCCTCTTTTGGTAAGAAGGGCTCTTACATTGAGTTTCTTGGATTTTGTTATTGATGCAATTAATTTGCAATCGGACTAAACATAATACAACTCAGGGGTAATTGAGCAAGTAATTTCCCATCACCATTGTGGTATGCCCAGTTTCCTTTACTACATAACTTGAACTAGCTGCTACCTTTTTTGCCATGATAACAATTACATTCCTAAGGATTTTGATTTCACTTGCAAGTTTGGAGCATATTCTGTAGACTACATACATGCCAATTTTCCCAGATTATCTGGGACTCTCCCAAATACATAACAATTAACTTAAATTCCCTGATCTCCAGATAGTTCACCAAATCTCCCACATAAAAGTGATGAAGCAGCTTTCAAATACTTTGCTATCCTGCAGGCTAATTAGATCCCTACATTTACTCACACCAAAACAATTTTGGTTTTACAAACTTGTCTTGCCCTTTCACAAAGCATTTTTTAAGCAAACACATTTTGACATACACTAAACAAAAGCTTTCTTTGGAAAACGAGATCCATTTGATGGTGGGGGCATCAATTTTTTAGTTGCACGGGGGTGCTGCTGAGTTGATGCTATGGTGGCATATAAGAGAAAAATCTCCAGATTTAGATCTCCACAGGTTGGAATCTCTGAGACTATCTGTGTATTAGCTGATCATTACATGATGAGCTAAATTATACATGCTCACCACATTTTGAGATTCCAAAGAGTAGCTTAGGTTTTTGAAAATTATCTTTAGTTATTATGTGCTCAAAATTGTACCATAGATGCCATCAATTTGACTATAGTGTTTACAAAAATTTAGCAACTTAACTGACCAATTGATAACCTCACTCCTCTTCTTTCTTCTGATAAAGGAGTGTTTTTCAAAAGTTAGAAGCTGCAATAAAAGGCACTTGTGACACAAATACACAAAATTACCGGTATATAATGCATGTGTGGCCAGGGTTTTTTATAGTTGCTTTCAAAATGCTATCATCACTTGAAAATAATTTCCAAACAGTTATGTTACTCTTAGGAATCTCAAAATGCAGAAAGGATTAAAGTCTTCTCTGAACTGTACTTTTAAATGGTAAATATAATAGAATTTAATAGTTTCTGTTGCATACTTCTTTTTTTAACCTTGCCTTTTAATGCTCCTGAATCAGATAACATTTTGAGAATTCAAACATTACCTTTCTAAATAGCTGTCGATCAGGGATTAACCTCTTGGATGCCAACATTTTAATTACATGATTTAAAACCAGTAAACTGCGCTGTTGATGCAGTGGATCTTGGCTTTTCACTTCCTGCATTAAACATTGACAGATAATGTAAAAAAGGTTATCATCTTTCATGACAAAGAGGCCATTACAAGACAGATGAATTCATACCATTCAAGATTTCACATTTCAGTGACCTCTCAAAGAATTTTATTTACCCTTACTCAAAGAAAAATTCACCAGGGTTTCCTGTTTGTAAAGAAATTTTTACTCCCTGACAACTTCCTGACCTCCAGTAGTACCGCAGTATTATTGTATTGCATGGAAACTTTAAAATGGGACTTTGTGCGACCCAGAAAAGGTTGCAGTCATGAGACATATGGAAAAACCAAGTGTGGAATATGTAGTGTACACAACCCACAATAATTGCTGGGAATAGTGAAACAGTTGGATGAGTAGATTCTGCAGTTGCCTGAACTCAGTGCCCAATATAGGAAGTTATCTGCAAGAGGAATGCTTGGGCTTGTTGCACTCAAATGCAAAATGCACTCAAAACAATTAGAGAATCATCAAGCACTCCACATTCATTTGTTAAAGATAATACAATGCTTAAGGATTCAGAACAAGCCGTGATGGATTATCTGTACCGAGTACTAAGGTACTAAAGTACTAACTATTTTTCCGTTCAAAGCGAAATATAAGCCAAAATAGTAATTCTGGCCTCGTGTTATCTTCAAAATAAAAAAGACAAAAAGCCATTGATTACTATAGGGTATTTACTACTTCAAAACAGGAACGAGAAGGTTCTAGATTAGAAGAGTATTTTTTTTCTACTATTGAATTGGCAACAAGTAAATAAGAGGGAGTCATGGAAGGTTCTGAGTATGCAACACCGCAAACAAAAGAGAACTAGCACCTCAGCAACCAAAAAAATATTCTCAAAGGACCGACATCGCAATATACATTAAATTGCAGGATTTAAATGGTCTGGTTTGGCCGATCGTGCGTGTGGTAGAGGTCCGGAGGTCAAGTAAAATGCTAGCCAATGTTTATTAAAGATTCATTAGGATTTATTGCTTAGTTTGTTTTACCAAAATATAGTTTCTATAAGGGTTAAAGAAAAAAACTGCAATTCATAAATGGTTTATTTCAACGAAAACAGTCAGTTTGAGATCACCAAAAAAATGCAGTGCGAGTTGTTCTCCACTACATTACCGCATTAAAAATAAGGTCCACACCACAAAACGACAAACCCCAATGGTTATCAATATTTTCCTTTTTCTACAGACTAAATCAAATGTTCAATTTCATGGCATGCATGAAAAGAACAAGAGTTGTAGTTAGTATGCTAGTATGCTAGTACATAGGTATTCATGCTTGCTCGAGAGCTGTAGTTAGTACGCTAGTACGTAGGTATTCATGCTTGCTTGAGAGGTTTACTTAGTACGCTAGTACGCTAGTACGTAGGTATTCATGCTTGCTCGAGAGGTTTACTTAGTACGCTAGTACGCTAGTATGTAGGTATTCATGCTTGCTCGAGAGGTTTACTTAGTACGCTAGTACGTAGGTATTCCTGCTCGCTCGAGAGCTGTAGTTAGTACGCTAGTACGCTAGTACGTAGGTATTCATGCTTCCTCGCTCGAGAGCTGTAGCTAGTATGCTAGTACGTAGGTACTCCTGCTCGTTCGAGAGTTGTAGTTAGTACGCTAGTACGTAGGTATTCATGCTTGCTCGAGAGCTGTAGTTAGTACGCTAATATGCTAGTATGTAGGTATTCATGCTTGCTCGCGAGGTTTAGTTAGTATGCTAGTACGTAGGTATTCCTGCTCGCTCGAGGGCTGTAGTTAGTACGCTAGTACATAGGTATTCCTGCTCGTTCGAGAGCTGTAGTTAGTACGCTAGTACGTAGGTATTCCTGCTTGTTCGAGAGTTGTAGTTAGTACGCTAGTACGTAGGTATTCATGCTTGCTTGCGAGAGGTTTAGTACTGTTAGTACTGTTAGTACTGTAGTACTGATGAAAGCTGTTAGTACGGTAGTACTGATGAATAAGCAAAAATCTACAGAAAAGCATTCCTATAACGAGCTTAGCGCTGGTTCCAGTTAAGGTGAAAGCACCGGACAGCAATTTGATTGTGGAAACGTATGTGTTCTTGGACAATGGATCAAATGCTTCCTTCTGCTCAGAGGAACTCGCTACGCGGCTTGGTCTATCAGGGCATTGAACTTCCTTACCCTTGACTACCATGGAAAGAGAAAAAAGTAAATTAAAGTACCTCGCAAGTTGTAAGCCTTCAAGTATTGAATCTCAAGAAGGAGAATGCTGTCGAATTACCATGTGTCTTCACAAGGCCAAGGCAACCAGTGACCATGAAGAACGGACCACAACAAAGTGACGTTGACCATTGGCCTCATCTGGTAGGAATAAAAATTTCCAAGATTGATGTGAATGTGGGTTTGCTCATTGGTAATGATGCCCCAGAAATTCTCCAGCAGAACGAAGTTAGGGAATCCCGCCATAATGGTCCGTACGTGACTCGAACAATATTCGGCTGGGTGATAAATGGTCCCCTTGGTAGAGTCCAAGACTCGGGTTCACACATAGCTAACTTCATCAGCGCACACACAGAACTAGACGACTAGTTGCGAAGGTACTGCAACACGAGTTCAACGACTCTGTTTATGGTGGAAAATCTTCGCTGTCACAGAACGACAAACGTGCTTTGGAAAGAATGCAAGAAACTGCTGTCTTGCAGTCAGGACACTACACAATCGCATTGCCATGGAAGGACGACCCACCCTGTTTCGAGAATAATAGAAGCCTTGCCGAACACAGGCTCAGACTGTTGAATAAGCGTCTGTCCAAGGACCCAGATATACGAGTGAAGTACACAGCCTGTATAGAAGACTTCCTTCAGAAAGGATATGGGAAGAGGGCCCCACCTATCAGAGTTCCAGGAAAGACTTGGTACCTTCCCCACCATGCTTTGCTGCACCCAGCCAAGCCAGGAAAAGTGCACATCATATTCCATTGTTCTGCGAAATACCATGGAAGTTCTTTAAATGACAAGCTTTTACAGGGGCCGGACCTCACAAACTCCCTGGTTGGAGTACTGACTTCTTTCCGACAGGAAGCCGTTGCCCTCTTGGCAGATGTAGAGGCAATGTTCCGTCAATTCAAGGTGGTCCCTGCAGACTGTAACACCTCACGGTTCCTTTGGTGGCCAAATGGCAACCTAACAGTGCAACCAGAGGAACTGATGATGACAGTGTATCTATTTGGCGGAGTTTCATCCCCCAGCTGTGTCAATTTTGCACTCAAGAAGACTGTGGAGGATAATTGTTTAACCTTCAGTCCCGAAGCTGTACACACTGTGAAACACAATTTCTACATAGATGACTGCCTAAAATCTGTGGCTACCGATGAAAACGCTATCCGTCTCTCAAAGGAACTAAGAGAGCTACTGTCCAAAGGTGGCTTCCGTCTCACGAAATGGCTGTCGAACTCTCGAAGAGTGGTCGAGTCAATTCCGGAAGCTGAAAGAGAAGCAGCAGTGAAGAACCTGGATTTTGAGCATAGCATCATCAAAAGAGCTCTTGGAGTCCGGTGGTTCGTGGATTCGGATACGTTTGGCTTCAGCATCAGCCTCAAGGATAGGCCAGCTACCTGAAGAGGATTGCTGTCTGTCGTTAGTTCCACCTACGAATTACTTGGATTTGTCGCAAATTCCTCTGGTATGATGAAGCAACTTGGCCTCAAGGTCCTGCGGCAATGAACGAAGATCAAGGCAAAGGTGATGATTTAGAAGTAAACAGAGCTTCGTTAGCCTGGCTTCTGCTACTGCCACACCGATCGAGTCCATATTCGAATGGTTCTCCAGCTGGCACAAACTTAAAAGGTTCAGGGGTTGGATGCTGAGATTCAAGAGTGACCTGTGAAATGCCATTGCTAGGCGAAAACAAGGAGGACATTCACCCCCTCAAAGTGATAAGGAAATCAGACCTATGGATGTTGAAGAGTTTAAGTGTGCCAAAAGAGCAATCATTCAGGTAGTACAAATTGGCAGTTTTCCAGATGGTTGTCCCTAAAGGAAACAAAGAAGGTCAGGAAGTCTAGTCATGTGGTCAAACTCGATCCAGTTCTTATGGAGGGTATCTTGTGTGTTGGCGGCCACTTACAAAACTCCCCACTACAAGACGAGACGAAATATCCTGCCATACTAACCAAAGACCACCACATCTCAAAACTCATTGCGCGCTACTACCACAGCAATGGTGGCCATTGCAGACTGGAGCATACTCTATCCTTAATCAGGGAGAAGTTCTGGATAGTACACGCAAGGACCTTACTTCGACGCATCCTAAGCTCCTGCATCCATTGCAAGAAAAGACAAGCAACAGTGGGCCAACAGAAAATGGCTAGCTTACCCGCAGATCGAGTGACCCCTTCCAAACCTCCATTCAGTTACGTGGGTGTGGAATGTTTTGGGCCTTTACTAGTGCGAAGGGCCAGGAGCACCACTAAGAGGTATGGTGTACTATTCACCTGCATGATGATCCAAGCAATTCACCTCAAAATTGTACACACCCTAGATACGGACTCCTTCCTAAATGCATTAAGACAATTCATCACAAGAAGGGGAGAACCGAAACAGATCAGGTCTGACAATGGGGGCAATTTTGTAAAGGATCAAAGGGACTTGCAAGAAGCGATCCGTCAATGGAATCAAGAGAAGATTCATTAATTCCTTCTCCAGAAGAACATCAAGTGGATCTTCAACCCACCCACTGGCTCACATCATGGAGGAGTGTGGGGATGCTGTATTCGTGAAAAGTTATGAAGGCTCTCCTTAATGAGCAACCCTTGGATGAAGAAAGTCTTGCCACACTCATGTGCGAAGTAGAGGCTATTATAAATGGGCGTCCCTCAACTAAAGTGTCAGATGACTCCAGAGATCCCGAGGCCTTGACTCCAAACCACCTTCTACTCCTCCGTTTGGGACCTGCCCTTCCCCCAGGTATCTTCCCCAAAGACTGCTATTCCTGACGGAGGTGGAGACATTTCCAGTACCTGGCTGATGTGTTTTGGCGATGGTGGGTGTGGGAGTACCTCCCCTCACTCCAACAAAGATAGAAATGGAACCACCTTTCACGCAACTTTGCAGTTGGCGATGTCATGCTCTTGTTGGATGAGAACAGAGGTTTGCAGCCTCTTGGGTGCATACTAGAAGTCTTCTCCAATCAGAGCGATGGCTTGGTGAGAAGTGTCAAGCTCAAAACAAAATCTTTGATTCTTGTGCGTCCTATTGACAAGATTGTGCTGCTCGAAGCTTCCTGAACAGTGATTTTCCAAGAATTAGAACTGATCTTTAAAGATCTTGTTTTACTGACACTTAGTTCCTTTTTTTGGTCCAAAGCATTTCAAACCTCGTGTTACTATTAGTTAAAGGCAATGATTTGTTTAAGCCTTTAAAGGGGCCGGAATGTTACTTTCGAAATGGGTTACTTGTGTACATTTCTGTTGTTTGTTCCAGTCTAATAATTATCTCTTCATTGGTTAATGATTATCACTTAATAAGTTTGGTATTTCAATCAGTTTCATTTAAGAACGTACACCAGATATTATGTTTCATACTTCATCGCTTGTCAATGCTATAAGTTGCTGTCAACACGACCAATTTCATCTGCTATTAGCGAGCTATCTACAATCATTAGGAGCTAGACCAAAGTAAGTTTCCCTTTATTTTACTGTTAGGATATTTTCTTTCGTTCGGTTCGCACTTTGGTTTATTTCTCGCTTTCAGTTCACTTTATAATCACTTCATTGTTAATTAGGCTAATGTTACATTTCTCAGAGATACTTTCTAAGTTTAGCTTATACTGTATTTTCTTTTAGTTCGAACCACACACGCACACACAGACACAGAGTCACGCACTCAATTCAGCCACTTAAATTCAGCTACAGCCATCAATCTTAACTACGCTACCTTCAACCTTTACTTTGCGGCTTTCATCTGTGATTCCACACCAATACCTTTACTCTCGTTTGTATTTCGATTATGATCCTTGTTTAAATACACCGTGATTTACATTGTGCGTTCAAATTGTCTACTCCGCTATACTAGTAACCTTTGGAGGTTACATATACCACACCTTGAAAGAATACATGTACATTGCATTAAATGTCTACCAGACAGAAACAGGTCCACTGATAACAGGCATGTAAAGAAGAAACTTAGAAAAAAAAGCAGGTTGCCTTTCAGATCTAATAGAAACATCACCCCAAAAATCAGTTAGGCAGAGATTCTTAACCACACACACAGGGGTCATCAAGGCAACAAAAATTCCCAGAAAAAAGGCAAGGAGAGATTTTGTGGCCTTGATCTCATTTGCCTCCTAAAGAACCTGGAAAAGAAGTATTGCAATCGCAAGTGTGTTGTCTCTACACCACATACAAACAGGATGATAATTCAAGTCCAATCAGACAGATCATGACGAGTGATTGGCAATGACATCTGTTGCATTAAAAGTGACCTTTGCAGCTGATTACCTTACAAAACTCATTGCAATTGATTACTTTCCTTTCCAAAGCTTGACTGAAACAACACTATTTACTTATTGAACTTGCATGGGTAACTAAAGATGGTAATGCTACAAAATTTAAGCAGTGATTCATGTAACTCTGTCAAATTGTGGAGTCCAAAACTGAAATAATATTCTTTCCAAGCACTGGATTGCAAGTTTAGTTTGTTCATTGACTACATACCACGACAAATTGGAATTTTTTTCTGTTCTTTTCTTTTTTTTTGGGGGGGGGGGAGGGGGGGTTCATAATTAATGGAGGATACCTGGTGGGGTTTTGAAAAATATATCTCTGAAGTTATTTTCTGTGGGAAGGAAAGTATGCATAAAAGCAAAGATACTAGTGCATACACAGAAGAAAAATATTGCCTTGTGTAACACAAGCTCATCCAGCTTTGCTAAACCTCAAGAACATACAGACGGGGAAATGACATCTTACTACTGAAACAGGTAAACTGTTTTTCCAGAGACATGCATAACAGTTACTGTTAGAGACAAAGCTGATTGTTTTTGGTCACGTGACCAAAAAGATGTAAGCACAAAAGGTGTACACATATGATAACATTCCTTCGTATTTCTTTGTCCGTGCTTTTGCTGTCTGTTGTTGTTTATCCACTTTTGTTTAGTAATACAACATTAGCCAGCTGACAGTGTTCTATAAGATTTCTTTTCAGCTACAATCGAATCAATTATTACACATCTTAGGCTATCGTCTATGCCTATACCATGGATATAAGACCTTCCTTGTTTGTTTAAGGAAAAGCTTGTCATTGTTTCATTTTCAGCAATGTGAGGGAATGCAATCATGTGTGCTTACGTTTGAGGTGTCTGGGATAGATCACATGAGCTTGATTCAAATATGTTTCTCCCCAGCAGCAACTGTTTCATGCATCTCCGAAAAAAAAAAAAACAGTCTACCTGTTTCAGTAGTAAAACTAACCCTTACTATCACATTGCAAAGGAGAGTCATTTAGAGGTGTCCCAATAAGAACTTGACTTTGAAGATAGAAGATTTTTAAATCTTTTAAAAAAGCATTAGCAAATGGCAGGAGTTGCACAGGATTATCAACACTTCTTCTGCCAGCTTACCAGCCTGTCTACTTACATAAGGCACAGTTATTCATTGATCAAGTGATTCCTTTCTTTGCTCTAATTCAACTGTCCTTCATTCAGTGATCAAGATGGTAGATTTACCATAGTACAACACTTGCAATTAGTTGATTTGTCTTTACTTAAGACTGAGTAGAATTTACAACACAATTGAGTATATAATTATGGGAAATGTCCTTAGAGTAGAAACACCATACAATGCAATACAATAAACACAACAAGCATAGCACAGTACACTCTGGTTAAATGCAATGCATTGTGATAAAAAGTGATGAATTCAAGAATTCGCACCCCCTATATATTCTTCTAATCCTGATTATATACAATGAATATATGAAGTTCATATATTTTGAACTGCGGAATTAGATACGTATGATGCACGATCCTCGCAGTAGAGAGTGCTATTTATGCAATAGCGAAAATCAGACCTGAAAAAAATCAGGCCTGTACGGGACTCGAACCACTGACCTCTGCGATACTAGTGCAGCGCTCTACCAATTGAGCTAACAAGCCAACTTGGTTTGAATCCTGTACAATTTTTTTTTTTTTTCAGGTCTGATTTTCGCTATTGCATAAATAGCGCTCTCTACTGCGAGGATCATGCATCATACGAATCCTGATTATGTTGCTGCTTGTGCGCTACACTCTCTATGGAGCAATAATTGGGAGGGCCAAACAGGAAGCATTTTGCTTAAGGTTATGGCATACAGTATGGACCCTAAGCATCATGACTGAGAGCCAAATATTTTCCTGTTCAGCCTTACCAAACTAATAGTCAGTGAGTACCTTACTATAGAACCACAAGGTCTTAGAACTTATGACTGAGGAGAAACTGGTCAGCACTTGTACTTTATTTCAAGCAAGGTTCATTGACTCAAGAGAAACGGCATAACTACAAAAGCATCAACCCTAAGACTGAGCTAACTATAACAGAGTCTTACAGCCAATAACATCACGGCAAAACCAACCGATCATTTCACACGAACTGGAATAAGAACATTCTACTGACAACAATCATTCACTTGACTCTGATGATGACTTTCGCACAGGTTGTCGAAACGTCAGTCACTACCACTGACAACAGTCCTTCTCAGGACTACACTCACCCCGACGATCAGACTTCACCTTCACAGAGCCATCACCTTGCTCTAAGCACAAGGTCAGAATGCATGAAATGTCTATATAATTTTATATATAAGTCTAAGCTATTTCTGTCAGCACAATACTACTGACTAATCTTGCCTATCTATTCAAAAAAGCTTTACTTCCATTTTCTCTAAAAAAAAGGGTTTTGGAACCATATTCAAAGGCAAACAATTTGAGACAAACATGCAGCCCCACAGAAAAATACTGCAGTTGGGCAACATCACCAATTTGTAAGTAAAGTGTTCAAAAGCAATTGTGAACCGATACCCAATGTATGAGTTTTAATGGTTACAATAAGGGATGAACTGATCACAAGCTTCATACACAGGTGTCATAGTACAGAGATACACATTCAAACCTTCAGTAAGCATGGCAATAGCTCTGGCCAATCACCCAATCCCATTCTGGCAATTTTTGAGATCAACACTGCTACCTGGGTAATCACCTAGAAGAAGAAAGATATTGAGTGAATGTCTCATCCCATTATTCAGTAACTTATATTATTGTGAACAGGCGTAATCCGTATTTTAAGTGCCTCATCCTTTCTATTTGAACAACTTTTTGTGGAATTTTAATGTTAAATTGATATTCTACTCTTGTTCATGGATGGCCAGTTAACGACACAACCATACACAGGCTTTGGGATGTGTACATCCCTTTAGCTCATTTATCAGAGGCCATGGTAGTTAGATGGGTCCTGGAAAGCTGTTCTTTGTTGCCCGTGGCTACAGAAAAGTAAAATAATTAGGAATAACCAGGCTTTTGGGTTTCAACCTACATTACTACTTCTTAGAATTAGAGTTTAAAACAACTAATTGTGCTGAAATAGTTATTGGGACTATCATGAAGCTGGTCCCTGAAATCATAATTATACAAGTGAGTAACCAAGAACCACATATTGTTCATCCAAGGTCTTTTAACAATTGAAAACAATAAAACTGTCAAAACTTCAAAATGGGCCACCCAGATAGAATTACCGGGCATTTGGGTTTTGACCTATACTTGTCTACTAACTCCTTTGAAGTAGTTTGTAAAACTCTACTTTGGGCCTAAATGGTTTCTGGGACTTTTAAAGGACAGATCCCTGAAGTGATTCATATGTGTTCTTCCAAGGCTGTTTTACCAAATACAATAAAAAAGTCTAACAAGAGTAAAATAGTCCAGCTGGTATAAATGGCCTTACTAGAGAAACTGGTTAAAATGGACCATCCTACTGGTTAATTAAAGATGGTCAAACTACATCAAATGGTCCTAACTGGAAAAAATTAATGGTCTTAAACTAGTTAAAATGGCTATTCCAGTGAAAATGGTTTAACAACACCAAATGGTCCACTAGTACAAATAGTAAAACAGGTGATAATGGTCCAATGGTTAAAATGGTCTGGTTAAAAAAAACAAAATTAATCTTGTCCGCTTTCTTAATTCTCATAAAGGTTTGCCTAAATGTGCAAGGCAAAACAAAATCCCCCACAATAGTATTTTGTGAAAGGACAAGTTTCGAATTTTGAACCATTTTTGATAATCTATGTTGTTAAAAAAAATGGGCCTTTTGAGCACGAAAGCAGTTTTTACCCAGAAAAACAATTATTTTGCAGTATTTGGGAAAACCAAAAAACCATGCAATTGATGCTGGACTAGTGATGTGGAAAATGCTTTGCCTTTATCAGCAGTGTCAAATAAATAATTTAAACCTTAAATGAATGAAGGGGATAAGTTTCTAAAAAACTTTGGTACCGTGTAGGTGAGGGGGCATTACAAGATAATTTTTATCAAAAGATTTGACCATGAATATTTGCTCCAGCCAAATATATCCCAAGCTGGTGTTTTGGGCAATAAAAATTATAAAGAAGAGCTGATACTCAAAACATCAGCTCAAGAAACTCTTTACGATGGCCGATTCCCTTTATCAACTCAGTTGATAAAACCAAATAATCTAACTTGAAGTTAAAACCTTGATTGTTTAACTTTGTTGAATGCGCTCCTTAATGGAAATGTTGCACAAAGATGAATCGTTTCTATCTTCTATTCCTGTGTAATTCTTGTATTAGTTCACTAGTGTTTTTAATGTGTACTGGCCTTTTGTGTTTATATTGTATTAGCTTTAGATTTATATATATATATATATATATAATGTTACTAAATAAATGTTACTATAATATTACAATAATTTAATGTAGACTTTGTAACTGAAAAACCCAGCCTGGGAGTTGCAATAAATGTATGTATGTATGTATGTAGTTTTGTCTTTTTTGGTGACCATATCACAATCCACACACATAAAATAGTACAGTATTGCAGCAAGCCAGGGTTGGTGACTTAATGAATGATTAAGTTTCATTAAATAGTTATTCAAAGCTTAATTGCCTTATAAGTATCGAGCAATTTTTCTGATGAGTCAGCTACAGCCAATCTCAAATCTGCGATTCCATCAAAGGTCGGAACTTTGGAGCTGGGAACTGTTGTTGTAGAGTGTTGTTCATGCTTTTTTCCTCCGAAGGAAAAAAGTATGAACTTAATTATGTCCATGCAGCTTTGGAGTCCAATGGCTATCCATCTAAGTTTATAAAAAACACACAGGCTAGAAAAACTCGATCCTCAACAACAAATGTATCCCCACAGGAACTTGTTGGAATGTTTTTCAAGATGGTTGAACCAACCGAGTCACACAAACCTTTTGCTTCTCTCCCTTACATCAAAGGAGTAACTGAACCTTTGACATGTGTCCTCAAAAAAACATGATGTCACAGTTGTAAACAAACCATTTACCACTCTACAACAACAGTTCCCAGCTCCGAAATTCTGACCTTCGATGGAATTGCAGACCAACGTTGTTAGATTTTCCCTATTTTTTTTGGGTTCCCTGTTTTACATAGAAGCTAGTATCATGAGACCTTTTTCCATTTTGGTATTGTACACGAGACCTTCTTTCAGATTAAAAAACAGTTCTTACCACCATCTTAATCTGGTTTACTGTGTTCCTGGCCTTTTATTCGGAATACACAACAAATGTCGTGTATAAAATTCCCTGTGCAAATTGTTTGTGCTGTTATATTGGGGAAACCAGTAGAGCTTTTAATACCCCAAAAAAAAAAAAAAATTTGAGAAATATCAAAACTGCAGCCAAAGGTTCTAGAATTGCTAATCACGCCTGGTCCAACAACAACACCATTGATTTTGAAAATGCGTCCATTATTGACAAACGTACTTTTAGAACCAGAAAACATTAGAAGCGTGGCATACCAGAGTGACACCTAACGCAGATAACAATTCTTGCTCGTTACCTCGACAATACAACATTCTTTTTAACAAATATTCATAATCATCTACATTCTCATTATTTCGCAGTTCATGTCTTTATTTAAATTCTCTCATGACTTTCTTATCATTCATTTTACCTGTCGAAGACTGCAGTTCGGGCGGTCGAGAGCTCGTAGTTTTTAATCAATTTAGCCAGAGATCGTTTTTAAATTTCAACTATAAAATTATAATAAACCATTATTCACCTCAGAGTTGGTGAAAGTGGTTGATATCTACCTCCACTTTTAGTGAATAATTGTTAATTAGTATATACATACTCAGTGATCTTGGTGTTTCAAGCAATCTGATTGGTTCGCTATCTCGGGCTAATCAACAATGTACACCTCCAAGCAAGTGGATAATGTGAAAAAAATGGCGGGTGTAAACTCGCATTTCGCTAAAGTTAATCAGAAGCAGAAATTGCCTTTAAATGGCTTCCTTTTTTATTTGTCGAGATCACTTCGTGTGTATATACTAAAACAATTATTCTTTTCAATTTCAGTGAATAGTGGCTTTCGGGAATATTGTAATTTACGTACAATAAAATGCTATTTGTTTTGGTAATAATCATTAATTTGTTTAGCCACAAAAACTTTGGCATCAAAATTGATGATTGTTAGAAATTTGGACCATTTCTGTTTACCTGATTGACTGGTTCATCAAGCGACATGATTAGAGTCTGTTTTATAAAGGGTTTTTCCTCTTCAGCAATAGCACTGTAAATGGAAATTAAAAAAAACATCAGTTTCAAACCATGCTAAAACAATGACTATTAATAATTACATGACTATAATTACATGTATATGAACATTTATTTGAGTAGGTAGGTAGGTGGACTTTATTTAGCCAGGGTGGCCCATTCAGCAACAAGGCTGATATCCAGAGGGGCCCCATCCTCGGAGACCCAGGGGCTGAGTCGATTTCAAGTTAGGGCATGAAGAGCCCCTGGGGACATTGTCTTACAAGACTAGTTCCAAACGGTCACAGTCGTTCTGTCATCTGATTGGTGCCAGAAAATCTTTGTGTTTTTCTGCCCAATAAGAGTGAAGTGTGCTTTAGAGTCTTTTCGTGTGTTTTAACACGGACATATACTAGTAGCTCAGTTGCTCGCTATGTTTGTCTGGACCTTGCGACGGAGATTTGCTTGAGGTGAAAAGTTTCAGTCTCAGCACACAATGTAAGAGAAGTCGATCAGATTGTCCGCGAAAATCTTACCGGAAATTATACTGAATACTTTCGCAGGTATCACTAGAGAACGTGTTTTAAAGTTTGCGAGGTTTGTATAAAACACGATGATTGCAGTCATTGATATGTCGCTTTAAACGTTAAAGGAGATTTAAGCTTAAATCTTTCTAGATTTTTTGCATAATTTGCTGTGACTGAAACTTTGCCAATCCCATGAAGTTATTTCGTCCCACGGGCCACGCAGGTATGTCGAGCAACTGGCGCATTCGCCTACGTAGCTTTCTG